ACCGGCAATGGGATTGCAAACCTCGGTGTTGCTCCCACGCCTCGCTCAGCCAGTGAGCGGGAGCCGGTCTGTATGTGGGATCCGAACCCTCGGGCGGCAGCGCTGCCGCGCCTCCTAAGCGGCGCACTATCCAGTGCGCCACTGGGCCGGCCCAGAGATCTTAATTTTCTTCCACCTCTTTATTAATGTAATTAAATTAATTTTGGGGGGGGTGGCTGGCCAGTTCCAGCCCTTTATTATGCTTTTTATTTCTGTTACTATATTTTTAATTTCTCAGAAGTCTTTTTTTGGTCTCTGAGTTTTTATAGTATTTTATAAATTTCATAGTGTCCCATCTTTCCATTTTTTTTGGCTGGCCAGTATGAGGATACAAACCTTTGACCTTGGTGTTATAACACCATGTTTTAACTAACTGAGTTAACCAGCCAGCTTCATAGTATGCTATGTTATAGTATCCTATCATAGTTTAAAGTTGTAGTATCTTGTCATATTTCTCTGATAATATTAATGATAATTGTTTTTTGTTCTTTGGGGCTTTTTTGTACATGTTCTCCTCCCTATGCACTGTTTCCTCTAAGTTCCACCCCCCCCCATTTGATCATTTCGTGTCTATCTTTCTTGTTAGAAGCTTTATCTGATGTCTAGTAATCATTAGTAGTCTGTTCATATTTGGGAGTGGGGGTGTAAGACTCTGGAAGCTCTAGAAGTGGTGGGTCTATGAGCATATAAGCAGGGTTGTTGACTGCAAACTTCACTGTAGGGTGATCTGTCTGGACCATTTTTTGCGGGAAATTCCCAATGTCAGTATTTTTTTTTATTTCTTTCCTTGGGGTATATATATTTTTACAGATATATATTTACACATACATACACATATATTTAAAATAGAGATGAATAAAGAAGAAAACAAATGATGAGCCATGATCTCCCTGATAAGACAACCCCTAATGATATAAAAGTTTAAAGGGGGCTGGCTGGTTATCTCAGCTGCTTAGAGTGCAGTGCTGATAACACCAAGGTCAAGGGTTTGGATCCCCATACTGGCCAGGTACAAAAAAGAAAAAAAATAGTTTAAAGGCCAATAAATATTTATTTTTTTTATTTTTAGCAGCTGGCCAGTATGGGAATTCAAACCCTTGACTTTGGTGTTTTCAGCACTGTGCTTAACCAACTGAGCTAACTGGCCAGCCCCTATTCATCCAATAAATATTTATTAAGGTCTTCTTGCACCAGGCCCTGGGGCTATAGAACTGAACAAATCAAAGTCCCTGGAGCTTCCATTCTAATCTGAGAGACAGACACATGTGTCTAGAGCAGAGCACTCCAATAGATAAGTATCTCCAATAGAACATTTCTGTGATGATGGAAATGTTCTAGACTTGTGCAGTCCAATATGATAGCCACCAGCTATTGATCACTTGAAATGTGGCTGGTGTGACTAAGGAACCAGATTTTTAATTTTCAGTTAAAATTTAAATGCAAATAGCCACATATGGCTAGTGCATACAACAGTGGACAGTGCCAGAAAATTCCATCCTTACCGTAAAGCCCAAGGGAATTGGCAGCCTCCCATAGATTTGGCTGGCTCACATGCCAAATGTGGGCTTATCCTACTGCTGAGGGCAAACCACCTCACAGGAAGAGAAAAGAGATGCATCTTCCTAAAGGAAATAGACACGGCTTCTCCTCCCAACCAGTCCTGGGAACCCAATTGATGAGAGATGTTCAATTTCTCACTCACACAAGAAGCAAAAAAGGAAACACTGAGATCCCTTTCCATAAAGTAAGCATTATTTTTTTATTTCTTTCAGGTCAATTAAAACATGTATGTACACATACCCATCTTTATACATTCCTTACTAAAAGTACACACTGTTCTCATCTTGCTTTTTTCTATGGAGGAATACCTCTTAGCATCTTTTCCATATTAATAAAGTCTTGCCTCTCAGCTTTGGTGCCTGGCCCATGGAATGCTTGCTTCAAACCAGCCTGAATTAATTCATCCAACCACTCTTTATTAAGCACCTAATGTGCACCAGGCACTATTCTAGACCCTGTGGATTAAGTGGTGAACCAGACAGGCAAGGTTCCTGCCCTCATGGAACTAAAATTCCAGTGGAGGGAGATGGACAATAAACTGAATAAATAAGAACATTTTATAGTGCTATGGACAAAAATATTGCAGGGTAAATGAGTTTGGGAGACCTGAAGAGGAAGCGATAGGCTGCAGTATTAAATAGGGTGCTTAGGAAGGTGTCTTCTGAGCAACTTGAAGGAGGCGAGCAGGGGACTCAGGTGGCTGTCTTAGGGAGTCAGAAGAAGAATGTTCCTGCCAGGGGAACAGCAAGTTCCAAGTCCCTGAGGCAGGAGCAAGCTGGGGTGTTCCAGGTACACCAAGAAGGTCAGTGTTTGAGGGGGAGGGGGAGTACTTAGGAGATGAGGGCAGAGGGATAAGGGAGGGTGCAGGAGTGTCAGATGGCACAGAGCCTTTAAGCTGGAGGTAACTCAAGTCACTCTGAGTAAAGTGCAGTGGGGAGCCAGGGGAGGGTAGTGAGCTGAGGAGGGATAGGCCTGACTCAAATGTTAAGATCCCTCTCGCGACAGGGTGGGAATAAACAGGAAAGCAAGGACAGATGCTGGGAATTTTTTATTTTTCCCCAACCTACACCCAAACAAAGGCCATAGGAAATGGCTGAGCTGTAATAGGGATTTAAGGACAATATGGGGGAGGGGAGTAAGGGATGGGGGTAGAGAGGTAGGCATCCCAGAACAACTGAGCATATGACTAGAAGTGAATTCTATAAGATCCCCTCCTCCTGAAATCCCTTCAAATATTTCCACCACTGGAAGCCTTGGTTTCTAGCTCTCTCCAAAATGCTCCTTGGGTCCACACCCATGTCCTCCAATGACCCCTGAAGATCCTCCTTCCATTTTATCCTGGTCCCCAGCCCCTCCATCCCTCCTCTTCAACCTGACTCTGGAAACTCCAAATTCTTCCCACTTAAACGTGGTGAGCAATTAACCTTTCATTCCCAAGGGCATTTTCCTAAACAAAGAGAAACCTAGAGAGAAATTACAGTTTGCCTAGATGAGGCAAAAGTGCCTACGAGGCAGTTGCGGTCTTTTTCTTGCCTATGTCTACATTTCCAGATGTCTGCTGGGATCTCCCTGCCTATATAAAATTAATTCAAACCCCATTCTCCAAGCATGGGATGGCAAATGCCCACCCCAAATTTCTGCTAATTCTTCGGAGCTTCACATTCTTTGCCCCAACCCCAAGTCTTTGCTTTTGCTAGGTCCAATCAATTTGGGGAATCCACTCCCTGTCTGTCTCCCCATTTGAGGTGCCTGGACTAATTTAGTCCTTTTCCTTAATTTCCATGCAACCAACCACGCACCCAAGGCATTTATGTGTAAGCACCTGAGTGTGTGGACAGGGCTTTTCTGAATGTTTGGGGACACATAAGGATTTACATCAACAGACGGGATAACGACTCAAAACTCCAGGTTAGGGGGCCGGCCCGTGGCTCACTCGGGACAGTGCGGTGCTGATAACACCAAGGCCCCGGGTTCGGATCCCACATAGGGATGGCCGGTTCGCTCACTGGCTGAGCGTGGTGCTGACAACACCAAGCCAAGGGTTAAGATCCCCTTACCGGTCATCTTTAAAAAAAAAAAAAAAAAAAAAACAGGTTAAGTATTCTTGTCTGGAAGACACTTTGCCTTCTCTGCAACCCAGCGTCCAGCCATGTCTTATCTCTCTTGTCTTCCCCAGACCTGCACTGTCCAATACTATTTCAATTTAAATTAATTAAAATTAGATAAACTTTAAAATTCTGTCCTTTCGTCACACTGGTCACATTTAAAGGGCTCCAGAGCCACATATAACTGGTGGGTAACATGCTAGAACATTCTGTCATTGCAGAATGTTCTTTTGGACACTGCTGGACTAGACAAAGACATGTACCTCCCTCTAAGAACTAGTCTGTTGTCTGCAGTTATGATAACAAAAATTTAACCCCACTACATATGTTATTTAAAAAAATAAATATGGAGTTATGCTCTTCCAGGACTAGTTTTATTAATTATTTTATTAATATACCCTGTACATTTTCACCTGTCAGATAATAACATTTATTTAATACCATAATTACACACTGCTCCAACGTATGGATTCACTCATTCACTCATTCATTTATTCCCCAGATATTTATCAACCCCACTGTATGTGCCAGGAACGATTCCCCAACCACAGCTGGGAATGAGACCAACTGGGACCCTGCTCTCTGGGATTTGCAGTCTCATGGGAGAGGCACAGATTAATCAAATAATCACAAAAATAAATATAAAATGGCAGCAGTTGTGAGAGAGAGTGACATGCTGAATGTGTCACAATGTATCTATCCATGAGAACTAATTCTGTATCCCTGCTCCTCTTCCCACCAAGTTTTAGACATTAGAGCCTAGCCAGAGAACCCAAGCAAGGTAAGGTATGTATCTGGGCCTGTGTTCCCCCGTCTGAAAAAATGGAGAGAATAGTTTCTATCTCATAGAGATGCTGTGAGGATTAAGTGAGTTATAAAACTAACTAGAACAGTGCTTGGCACAACATGTGACCATTCGCATTATTTTTATTATTCCTCCTTTAAGCTTCAATCATCCTCTTTAAAATGAAGAAGTAAATAGAACCTTCTTTGGAGGACTACGGTGAAGATTAAACGAGTAATCATTTCATTAACAGTCACAGCTAACATCTCTCCAGCACCTCCTTTGCATCAGGCACTATGTAACCTTCACAACAAGTCGAAGGGAGGGATTGCTGTTATGCCCATTTTACAGATGTTGAAACTGAGGCACAAAGAGGTGCAGTGACTTGCTCAATAGTTCGGGGCTAGTTAGGATTTGGAAAAATGGGAGGTTAGGGGTGAGAAAGGTTCTGGGCTGGGCCATGAGCATATCTGGGTGGGACTGATCCTGCCCTTCATGGCCCTTGCCCCCAGGAAGCTGGATGCTTTTATCTATGATGCAGCCGTGCTCAACTACATGGCCCGCAAGGATGAGGGCTGCAAGCTTGTCACCATCGGCTCCGGCAAAGTCTTCGCCACGACAGGCTATGGCATTGCTTTGCACAAGGGCTCCCGCTGGAAGCGGCCCATCGACCTGGCGCTGCTGCAGTTCCTGGGGGACGGTGCGGCTGCGTGCAGGGATTTCTACACGGGAGAGGGAAGGGCGAGACCCCTGCGTCCTGGGAAAGGAGGGGATAAAGACCAGGACAACAGGGTCTCAGGGAGGAGGGGGTTGGGGACCTAGACTCCCATATCAGAGGGAAGGGTCCTTAGAGGGTGCTCATAGCAGGTGATTTCTGATCCCTCTTTCCCAGATGAAATTGAGATGCTGGAGCGGCTGTGGCTCTCCGGGATCTGCCACAATGACAAAATCGAGGTAATGAGCAGCAAGCTGGACATTGACAACATGGCGGGCGTCTTCTACATGCTCCTGGTGGCCATGGGCCTCTCCCTGCTGGTCTTCGCTTGGGAGCACCTGGTGTACTGGCGCCTGAGGCATTGCCTGGGTCCCACCCACCGCATGGACTTCTTGCTGGCCTTCTCCAGGGTATGGGGGAGACAGAGAGGCAGAGGGGGAGAGGAGGGAAACACAGGTGGAGACCGGCAGCGATGCGGAGATGCAGGTAGAGATGCAGAGACAGGGGAAGACAGTGGAGAGGCAGGCATAGATGGAGCAGACAGACCTGGGCGAGGTGCGGGGAAAAGGGAGGCAGTGAGGGAAGCCTCCTGCGCTGACCCTACCCTCTCCCCCGGGCCCACAGGGAATGTACAGCTGCTGCGGCGCCGAGGCCGCCCCGCCGCCGGCCAAGCCCCCGCCGCCTCCCCAGCCTCTGCCCAGCCCGGCGTACCC